TATTTTTTTTCTGTTCTTATATTGGATCTCTGCCGCCATTGTTTCTCGAACTCATTTTTCTAGATAAAACCGAGTGCACATGGAAGTCAACGGCTCTAGTTCCATACGATTTTGCTCAACAGCCAATTGTTTATTACAGCATTTTAGTTGTTCAGGCGATTGGCAATTGCTTAAATTGTATCATAGCATGCACATCTGACACTTTTGGCTTTTTACTTATCAGTTTATTATGTGGTCATATCGAAGTATTGTCGTTGCATTTGAAAAAAATTGGAAATTTCGAAAGGCGATCGGCGAATGACTCGAATCGATTGCGACTGTTGGAACAACTCAATCATCATGGTCTGCTAACTGAGTATGTGTTTCGTTCGAAGAATAGTCAATTCAGTTTAATGATAATTTTGTTTATTTCAGCTATGCAACCGAATTGAATAACCATCTTTCCGCAATATTTTTCGTTCAAGTAAGCATCAGTGCACCCATCATATGCACTTGTGCATACCAATTTTCCCAGGTATTGTTCTTTTTTGAATGATTGAAAACCTAAGTGCATTTCTTTTGATAATTCGACATAAGAGAAAAAAATAGATTTCCGTTCACGTCGTTCCAATAAACTCGAACACTTTCTTAGGCTCAAAACTTTACCACCACGCAATTGATATTCCTTGCCAGCTATACCATCGGAATGCTATTACAAATCATCACCCCGAGCTACGCTAGTACAAATTTGATGGAGAAGTGTGACTCATTACCGGTTGCTATTTTTTCTTCGGAATGGTATGAACTTGGACCGAGTGAAAAAAAAAGTCTATTGATATTCCTCACAAGATCAATACGACCGTTTGTTATGAATGCTGGAAACTATTTTCAAATGAACACCACCACTTTTTTAAAGGTATCTTCCGGTGTAAAAAAAACCATGAGCAATTTGTTCAATAATAGCTTGAGTTGAATTTTTATTTCCAGATTGTGAAAACGGCTTATTCTCTATTGGCTGTTTTGCAAAGCACCCAGCCATAAATTATGTGGTCCATAATATTCTTCTACAGAACACATTGTCCTGTTAGTTTGAACAGTATATGTCTATGTTTGTCACTCAACCAATAGTATTCATGCAAATAAAGAACAATTAAAACGAAAATGTTGTAAAGTAAATTGTTACAAAATTCAGTACTCGTAAAAGTTTGGCCGTGGACACAGTACAGCGGGAATAGGCTAAAATTTAAGTCCTAAATTTTTTGGAACACAATTCATTATTTTCTTAATAAAACGGGCATAAAATTGTTGCGAAACACATTTGGCGAAACAATTAAAAAGAAAATGTGTTCTATCAACGCTTCAAGTTAAGAAGAATTAAAATTAAGTAACATTTGCATAAGCATTTTTGGCATTTTGCTCAAGTACATTAACTGTGATACATTTTAATTAACATAACTGTGATGACGGCCATATAACGATCGAAAAGCAAGCGTATTTCCTGTTCTCTGTGGCCGTGAAGAGAAAAACAAAACACAAAATTAGAATCATCAATATAAATTTAGGAAGAAAATGGTATACCTGGCCACTTCTAAATCCAGAACGCTTTGAGTCACTGCTGGCAAAAATGATTTGACAGTTTCAAGTTGCCAATTGTTGGTGCGCCATGGCTCGATGAGTTTCTCTGACAACTCCATAAATAGACAACGAAGCTCACGCGTCCGGTGCAAATTGATTGCAATTGTTATCAATGAACGCCAGTAGGATCTAAAAATGCAAAGACATTTGAATTAGGACACTTGAGAACACTACTTATTGTAGTCGTTGATAATCAAAATTCTAATTTTAATAAAAACAATCCCACACCTGAAGTTGAGATCTAGTTCTTGGTAGGCGCGTTCAAGTATGACTGATTTCAAACGAATCAACACCAAGCTAAGGAGCAAAAAAAGCGAAATCACATGAGAATGGGGTTTGATGGTTAAACAAATGAATACTAACTGTTTGATTTCCTTCTCTTTGTCCAACAAACTGCGCACCTCTCTTAGGTCTAACAGAAATTCGCGATCCATTTCCGTGTCGTAATACTCAGGACCAGAGTGTTGATATGTGTACGTCCAGTAGGTCATGATGGCTTGTGAACATTCGAAGAAATCACTGAAATCCAAATATTGTAGGCGTCGTTTGGCCGTCTCAAAACGCAAACAAGCGATGAACACGATCACGGCATACTTCCTGCAAGCAAACAGACAAACATTATCATTTGGTAACGAAATTTTCGTTGAATATATATCAATCCAAATCAAAACCGAGCAACACACGGAATAAAAATTCGAAAAAAACGCACCGTGCGAGTTCATCGGGAAGCAAGAAGTTCTGCTTGATATTGTTGGTAACGTTGCCCGGCATCTCCTCGACGCATTTGAATATTCGTTTGACATTGTCGAATTGTCGACGGCATGATTTCAACCGAATGCCCGTTCTGTCAGCCACTTCATCCAAATCCTTTCGATATCGCGACGATAGCTTCTTGCCAAGTATTTCACGTGCCACAGAGTGATCCAAATTGTAGTATCTGCATTGAGATCGAATCGAAAACGAGTCATTTTAACTTCAATATTTGAAAATTTGATTTAATAATCAAAAAATACGACCAAACTCACTTTTCAATGAGAAGATGTTGACTTTGTGGCTCCAATTGAAATGATGGCTGTTCGGAAAGTTTTGTTGGTGTGTATAACAAACGCTCTAGAAGCGAGTATGTGCGATAGTGATCCAAAACGTCCGATGCAATCAACTCCAATGGGGCGCCCATATTTCTAGCAACACCTTTTGTGTTTTGAAAATGAACCGCTTCGGTAGCTAATGAAATGCATAACAAATGGCATCGTTGAAATTAATCATGTTAAACAAAGAAATTGATCAATGTGAACAAATCCACTTACACGAGTAGCCTTCTGTCCATAGTTGAAAGATGTCTGCATCAACTAAAGTATAATTACTGATAAATACGTCAACTTCTGCGTACATATTTTTGTTTTCAATTGTGTCGTTGCTTAAGATCATCAAAATTGCATGTAAAAATTGATTTGAGATTGACTTCGCAGAATGTCTAAGTACACAATGTCCAAATCACGAAAAATTCAGATTTTAGCCACAAAAACACATTGACAACGAAACTTCTTCTTAATTTGCATACCACGCCACAGATTCTTGCTGTAAAATTTCAAATCAATTTAGTTTAAATCGAAATTTCTGCAAAGTATTCTTGAATATTTTGATTGCGCGATAAGTTGAGTGTTGTAGGTAGGTTGTTGTTTATTTTTCGCAGTGGCTAAACTGTCATATAAAAGGCCTTTTGAAATGTCACACGTGACAGCAGCCGATTGCATGGATTTCTACAATTGACAACTTCCATTCAAAGCACCGCTAGAACATTTACCTAGCATTTTTTTTTTTTCGAGGAAAAATTCTATTTTAAATAATTTCACATAAAAATGTTTCAAGTTTTCTCCAGACGTTTGCTTATGAGCAACAGCAGTGCTGTTGGTGCTCTGCAGTTTTCAAGACTTGATTCAACGTTGCCGAACCGTATACGAGCCAAAGGTAAATTATTGAGGTTATAATATTTTACAAATTTGGGCTTTTTTTTCTCTATAAACAACTTCCATTCCAGAGATTCGAGATGTTAAGTTAATCGGTACAATTCACCAGGAGCCCTTTGCTTTACAAGATGGATCAAAAATTCTTACCATCAAAACTCAATCAGACACCCATTAGTGAGTTCTAAAGTTTAGAATCTAAACATTGATTTGAAACGAAAAATGCTTGAAATAATGTCCTAATTCATTCATTCATTCACAGTAAATTGCATCGAGCGATAATTCGGAATACAAAACTTTTGGAAATTCTTGGTGACAATCTGTCAAGTGGCCAACGAGTATATCTTTCGGGAGAATTACAAGTAAATTAACAAAAACAATTACAATACGAAGTATATGATATTAATATTATCCTGATGTGAGTTACAGTCTGCAACTTTTACCACTAGCGAGAATAAACAGCGTCAATCGTTTCAAGTGAAAGTAAATGAGATCTTTGCCAGTAAAACTGAAACGAATGCAACAAATGATTACAATAATGTTTGCATACTTTCTCACATGGCATCGGATATCCTTCATTTCGATCAACACTCCGTTTTCAGTCTATGTGGACACTTCGTTGCAAAGTAATTAAAACAATTGGATACAATGATTTCAATACAAATTTATTAAATGTCCTTCGTCTTCTTATTTTGCAGGAACGTAACGGATGGCGAGAGTGAGAGAGTGCAGTTCTATAGAGTTTATGTGCATGACAAGGAGTTGATTCAATTTCTAAAAACCAATGTGCAGAAGAGAGATCGAATTCTGGTCAATGGCTTTCTGAACGGCAAGTCAGAAACCGATGAAAATGGTAAAAGCAGGTATGCTGGTCATATTGAAGCGACACAGATCGTGAAAGTCGACCGACTTGTCGAAGCCGTTAATGAAAATCCGGTCGGAGAAGAAATTAACACTGCAAATCAATAAGAAATTTGATCTAATTAGGAAATAAATAACCGTTGATGTTAAATATAAAGAAAATGATTTGTTTTTTTTTTCAATTATTTTTGTAGTTAAAGACACGTATTAAATTTGTGTCAGTAAATTCTGTGGTCGAAGTGAAACACTTTGATCATTTTGAGTTGGACGTTGGCTTGCTCGTCAATCTATTTTTATGAAAATCCATTTATCGTTGTTACATTCATAGGAAATTACATTCAGTTTTATACATAAATTTCTGTTCTTAGACCTATGACTTTTTGTTTTGCATATCAAATTAATTTATGGGATATTTTGCTTGGGCATTGACAAATCTAGCCTAATCAAATGAAAAGTTTTTAATAGAACTTTCTTTTTAAATTCAATGCTTTAATGCATTCAATCGAAGAAATCGTGGTTGTCACATTTCTGAATTAGTTCATTGGTTTTTCATTAAATTTATTTGGCGAAAGCCTCAAATACTTTTTTCATGCATCGCATATGTTTTTGTTTTAATTCAAAATCTCATTTGAATTGCAGACTTTTTTCAAATCGAAAACAACAACAAAATGAAAAATTCTCAAAGAGGAAAAAAAAATGAAGTACGAAATTGAATTGAAGTCAAGATTGGTATCTAAATTGCTAAAAATTAGATTGTGATTATTTTTTCTACAAATAGTGAATTGCTGAGGCAAACGAAGCTTTCGTTGCGGCTAGAAAAAGTGGTAGCTCAATATCGATTGAACTGATTTTATCAACAAGTTTTTGTTTCGTTTCATTTTGTGTTTACATATTTTCACTAACATTGTGCGATGTTAAAAGAAATATAAATAATTTATCGGTTTTTAAATGCGTTTCAAAAACATGCGGCTTCATTAATTAATTGAAACGAAATCGATCAAAATTTGAATAAAATTGACGACAAAAAAATCAAGTCTATCACAGTTGTAAGAAAATCAAAGAAATTAATAAATATTTGTACAGAGAATGATAAAGGAATGTTGTCCACGCATAAAATGCGTACAACGGCAATGAATAAAACCATTGATATATATGCTATATTAGTTGCTAATTTCGGTAAATTAGCATCATTCATGACTTCTGATCGATTTTTTTTGGTTTAGATAAATATGTATTCATATATCTACTTGAAGCACACACTTGAGAGGCTTTTTTCTAAATATATGGTACATATGTCGATTGTATAAATGAACAATATCTAGATTGTTTTGTCGCTGGATACAATTTCACAATGAACAGGTGTGATTGGTTTTGTTGTGAAAAAGAAAAGAAAAAATATGGACCTATTGCTAGGCGATTAGGCTTGTGCTTAGCAATTGTTTCACAATAAATTGTTGCAAGATACAAATCTTAGATCTATTCATCGTCGTTTATAACATTTTTGCGTGCTTTGAAATTGCGCCATGAGCCATTTGTACAAACACCCGCACCTCTCCACCAGTCATTGATGTCTTCGTACCACGAAGGCGTCGCGATGGCATGTTCATCGTGTAGCATCGAACAAACGCGACACCAAAAATATGTATTGATAAATTCACCCGTTCCTTTCCACTTGAAGTATGAATTGTACAAATCATCATTTTTATCTAAAATATTCAAATATTCGGCTAACTCTTTCGGCGATGCAAACTCATCGACGTGGATGTATGATCGGTATGGGGCGCTGCTCTCGTAGTCTTCTGGGCCTGAAACGGATTATTAAAACAGATAAAATCGGTATTAGTTTACTATCATATCACGAATTCATAAAATAAAACAAAATCAAATATACTCACGTGCACCCATCACCTAAAATATAATAAATTAAGGGAGAAATTCGTGATTAGTTTACTTCGATTAAATTGAACACACAATGATATACTCACAATAGGCAGAATATTCCGGCTCAATGCATTCACAAAGAATTTTTCTGTGATATAGTCTTTGCAGTTTGAATTTTCAAATGCCAAATAGAATTTGTAGTCACGATTTAGGATATCGAAACATTTGTCAGGTGCATTTCGTGAACATTTAAATGAACCACATGACCCATAAATATCAACCTATTCCAAATAGAATTGAAATATTTTTTAGAACATTTGTGTCGCTGAGCATAAAAATGGGAATACAGATCTGTTACAGCAACAACCGAACATAAAATAATGTTCCCTAAAAACGTTACATGAATTTCCATCTAACGCGAGTGTAACATGAGTTGCATTAGAAACAGTATTAGCTCATGTTACACTCGCGTTGGATAGAAATTCATGTAACGTTTTTAGGGAACAATATTTTATGTTCGGTTGTTGCTGTAACAGATCTGTATTCCCGTTTTTATGCTCAGCGACACATTTGATGGATGGAATTTCCTAATTTTTAAGCAAGATTTTCATTTTGAAATGCACATTTCAACAAACTAAACTTACTTGAATATGTTTCTGCAATTCGTGTGCGTAATTCAATCGACCATTTCTGGCGCCACAATTCGATACGAACCAGGCGACTTTCTTTGTCTTATTTTGCGCAAAATTTCTATCTTGTTCCATTTGTTTGATGCGTTGATCGTAATATTCCCATTTTTCATATGGTGCGACAATTGTACTGTCTTTCCTGAAAAACGCCAAAAATGCGTTTCGTGTGAAAAAAAAAGATGAAAAAGGAGGACAACATGTGTCTTTACCTGTATGTGGCAGTCCAGTTAAACACATCGGGAAATTTGACATGTTGCGTGTGATAAGGGCACTCTAAAAAGTACAGCATGTACAATTGGTGTGGTGGCCGTGGAACGCCCGTCGCTACAAAATAATCTTTGTATAAAACTAAATCAGCCTTGTTGGCGACATCGCGTTTTGCCGTCAAACGGCACGTATTCACCGGGCATTTATTTTTCGTAAACACGTCACGACCCTCTTTTGCATTCCATGGACCGAGCCCATTGTACAGTAGAATGGTTTTGAGTTTCCCTGACTCTTGGATTTCTTCATAGTTTGGTGGTACGAACATTAATTGATTTGTGATTCGATCACTCCAAGGATCTTCGGATGGCGATAGTTTAGCGACTCGTTTCCGAGTTTTTCGTGATTTTTTCGCCGGTGCTGGGCAACGTTGACCACCAGCCAGATACCATGGCTTTTGTTTGACTAGCGCAACTTGATCATAATTGTCGATTGCTTGAGCTTGATTTTTCTGTTGATTTTCATCGATATATTCGTCGATTGGATTCGTTGAGGTCGATGTTTGCTTAGGTGGCTCCGGTGTCTGTAACTGAATGATAAAAGAAATACAATGATATATTTCACCGTTACACAGGTCAATGGCCACATTGGTTTTCGAATAAAACCATGTGGAATTCTCGATTTCACACATGTTTGTTAATCAACACACGGAATTTAATTAAAGTGTAGCGCTCAAGCTGCAACATTCTTTTAATAGCTATCAGCTGATTTGATTTTTGTATTGTTTTTACCTCTCTTAGATATACGCCTGGAATAATTGGAACTACTTCGTTTGTGTTCGCATTTCCATTTTGCTGAAAACTTTTTTCAAAGCTATCGTCGTGTATTTTATTTCGCCAAATGTCCGTGTATCTGTAAACACATTCATTTCGTTTAATCAACAAAAGGTTTTTTTCATACATTTTCAACCATTTATTTGCATTATGGATACAAATTTTATACCAACCTCAAACTAATGCCAAATATAACGATGATTGTAAAACCAATGGTGAGTGCAAAACACTTCTTCAGGGAAAATTTTGAAAACCGCATTTTTGTGTTCAGCGTTCACGGTTCTATGCTGCCACATCAACTGCCATATAGAAATGTGTAACCATTGGTTTTGAAACGAGAATTAACTGCAAAAATAAGAACAAAATAACTGTGATTTTAGCAATACCGGTGACGATAAATAATAAGGTAATATTTGATTTATTATACTAATCGCGAATGTTTAATCTGGCTCAAACGTAATTACAAATTTGTTATCAATTGTCTGATTAAAATTTTGGAGACGTTGTGATAAGAATGGCCCGTGTATCTACCGTTCACAACAAAATTGTGTATTGGCAGAAAAATGATTGAATCATACTCCGAGCATGTATATGGAGTTTCAATACATTAGTTTAGGTGTGAACATTTAACTCCATCTAGAATTCTTTCCAGTAGTTGTGTTTTAGTGAGTAATATTACCTAGA